AAGGTGGGGTCAAGGGATCCTTTACCCACTAGTGCAAGGCAGGAGGGGGAGAGCAGTGTACAATCTGGAAGTTTTTTTAAAATGCTGCTATTCTAAGTCGCTAGGTGGCATAGAAGGAAGAGCATTGGATCCAGAGTTAGGAAGTCAAATTCTACCTCAGACACTTTCTAGCTGCATGATCCTGGGCAAGTCATTTAACCTCTCTCTGCCTCATTTTCCTTGTCTGTAAAATGGAGATGATAATATTTGCACCTAATTCACAGGGTTGTTTTGAGAATAAAATGAGAAAATATGTTTAAAGCTCTTTGCAAACCTTAAAGTGCTACATAAATGCTGGTTACTATTATTATTGTCATAATTATTTACCATTAAATATGCACACATTTATTTCCATAAGTTTTTCTTTACATAAAGTAACTTCTTAAATATTTCTAAGACATTCAATAAAATGTGCATTTTATTTCAAATGTTGTGTTTGGTACCGAGTCATTCAAAACTGTTAAATAATATGTGTGTATAACATATATAGATATAGATTAAACATACAGATAGAGGAAAAGGGTTTACCTTTTGGGAGCAGAATAATTTACTGTGGAGTTCCTATATTTGGACAATACTATTGAGAGGGTGACCAGTGATAGAGACAAAAATAGGCAGATGGCTGTTGTAATCAGGTTCCCATATGTCAGATATTTGGAGAGCTGCAGAGGCATAAAGGGAGGTTTGAAAAGGAGGTGTGTGGGATGGGAGGAAGCAGGGTAATAATGATTATACTATCTCTTATTTATTTAGTGCTTTATACAGTGGCTTCATCAGGTCAATGCTGAAAGGTAGATAGTAAAAGTGTGTTATCCCAAGGTAATACCAGGTGACCAGGAAGCTGGGGCTCATATAGAACAGATATGGTCCTGGGGGCTGACCCCAATAGGATCATTTTTTTTCTCTTTAACTTGTTGCTCCCATCTGAAGCAGAAAGAAATTCTTCTGGCATGCTCACCACATAGCTGGTTTCTAAGTTTCTCCAAATGTGAATAAAAGTATCCCCAGCTTCTGTATAGGTACTTAGGGGAACCTTTATTTCACCCCACAGAAAATGCAGAAGACACAAAACAGTGACAGGAGTTCATAAACAAATGTAAACAAATCCCTACAAACACACACAAAAAGCCCTCAAATAAGCCATAAGCACCCTCCAGAGGGGAACTGAACAGAGGGTGACTACTGGGACAGCCCTTTGACATTCCAATGAGTCTTCTTCCTCCCAGAGTCCTACACTGTAACCCCTCCCCCACCAAAACTTAAAATACCACCTTGTCATTTAGCATCCTTCTAGAAAAAAAAATGTATGTATATATACACAGATACATATATATGCACACATGCAAATACACATACATACTGTAAGTAAGATGGGTTTTAGTGTATGTAAGGTGGATTTTTGTTATTCTTTCTTAGGGTTTAGTTCCCAGGGTCTATGGCCATAACAATCTCTAGCTTCCGGGTATTAGGTAATATTTCCTAGGCTCATGACTTGTAAACATCTCCACCACACTTGCACAGTGAGATATAGGGATGACATAAGTAATATTTACTACACTTGCATTGAATGACGATATTGCTAAAGTTAACTTGTGAGGCTATTGTTTGCAAGTTACCTTCTTTGTTACTCTATAAACTAAGTGGGCACTGGTCAGTGAGTGGGGAACCTGTTTTGGGATTTGGGTAATGCACAGAGGAATGCATGTACCAGCTTTGATCGGCCCCCATCCAGGCTTGGGGGGAATCTGTGTGCTTGCCTCAACTGGCCCCCATTGAGGCTTAGAGGACCTCTAAGGAGCTGTAGCTCCTACATTGCTGCTGCCTGCCCACATGAGAAGAGTGATTGTGGAAAGGCTATAGGAGTTGGTGCTCCCATTATCAGCAACCCTTTTGAGAAGGCTAGATTAGAATAAAGTAAGCTTATTTAACCCCTCCAAAGCTGTCTTTATGTCCTTCTGGCTGCCCAGATCAAGAGTGGGAGTCTAAAAAACTCCAGTGCTGTTACTTGTCTTACACACACACACACACACACACACACACACACACACACACACGCACACACAGAACTACTAAAGCTAACAATCCCTCTCCAACTGGACCTGTAATGTCTCAATAATTAATTTACTGCTCTCCCAACAAGATGCTGTGCAAAACATTTAGATAATACTCTTCTTTCTGTAAGAGCCATGCTGCAACAAGAGATCCTCTTCTCCTCAAAAGGTCTGATCTCAGGGACTTCTGGGTCACGTGAACAACAAAATAGAGGACTAGACATTTTCTACAATCCCTACTCAATCTCAGGAGAAAAAAAAATGTGCCAAAAGTATAGCAATTACAGCTGAATTCATGGAAGAAATAAAGCAAGAGGCCCAACAAGGTTAACAGACTTCTAACCTACATCACATTCATTGATTACCCTTCCACTATCAGCTTTCAGTTTACTGCAGGGAGAATAATCCGTATCAGCAAAAACTGACCTAAGGCTTATTCTTTGCATTCCTCTCCTGCTAGAGAGAGTCCACAGGCACACTTATGTTCATTCCCTCATTGTTCTCTGGACGCCACTATTAACTCTCCAGACTTCTTTTTCTACCATAACCCTATAGCCTTCTTACTCTGAAAGATCACTTCCCCTAGACCAGTCACATGCATTCCTTCATTCCTTTGTGGGAACCACCACTGACTCTCTGGAACTCTTTATTCAACATGCTCCAAAATAGGTAAATTCCTTCCAGCCCCCTATATAGCCTTATTCATTGCCTTCCCCTATTAGAATGAAGCTCCTTGAGAGCAGTTGCTTGTATTTATATTCTTGGCACTTACCTTGGCAGGTAGCAAGCACTTAATAAAGGCTTATTGACTTGTCGACCTAACTCTGTGTTTCTTCCAGTAACCTACTGCAATAAGCAGTAGACTTTGACTCTGCCTAACTGTGTGAAGTGGAGGAGAAGGAATAGGAAAAGACAGAGATAAGCTTCCTTCTACCTGGCACAGATCCTAGGTAAAAAAACCCCAAGACTACAAAAACCACCTCACCCTCCCCTAACCCTACAAAAAATGAAGATGATCATTAAGGATAGTCAGAGAAATAAAAAATGGAAACAACTGGGGCAAAGGGCCAGAATAAATGGCTATGCTGGGCCTGAAGGAAAGAAGGAATTAGAATCCAACTGAGATCAGTGTTGACTTTCCAGAAACTTGGAGCATAGTCAGAGGTCGGTGAAAAGGGGAAGAGTCAGAAACTGAGTGAGAAAATAATCTAAGAGAAAAATTAAAACCAATCAAAAGCTCAAGAAAGAAAATTCAGTAAAAAACTAGAATACAAGCAGACAAATCAACAGAGAGGATATTAAAATTAGAAGGAAGCGTGAATACTAAAACATCTAAAAGATTACCACCTTCTTTAACTAAATAATACTAGAAAAGAAAATGGAGCCAATGTTTGATGAAACACAGAATGCTGCAGAATACTAAAAGAGCACAGAACAAAACAAAATATTCCAGAATAGTTCAAAAAAGAAATTAAAGGATTAAGAGAATTTAAAAGGAAACACATGTCATAATGTATGGCCTGCACAGCAAAAATACTTAGCAGAATAGGACAACTTAAGCACCAATGAGAGTGAAAGAGAAAAACAGATTCGGGATACAAATTGTTGTTTGTCCTTTGTTCTTGAAGAAGACCGTGACATCAGGAAAGTGATGCCATAACTTGAAAGTGAATTGGATTTTAATGACGGAATACAAGTACACTGAAGTGAAGGACCATCTAGAAGAAGAGGTGCAAAAGGAAAGATTGCTAACAGACCTCATAGTCTCTGTTGTCAGCAAAAGTCATTGATCTGAAAGACAAAATACACAAAGAGTATTTAAGGATCATATATTTTTTTAAAATGGCAAATAAGAAAACAGAATACCATAATTTAGAAAATAATACAAGAAAACTACTCAGAACTTCTGAACACAGAAAACAAAAGGATTAATCAAAAGAGTCCACACATTACCTCTAAAAATTATCCTGTTCTTCAAACTTTGAGACACATAGTAATTAATTTCAATAATTCAAATAGCAAAAAGCAAATTTTTCAAGTGGCCAGGGAAAAGACCTTCAAATATAAAAGAAATGAAATTTAAATATTACATGACTATTCTGCACCCACTAGAAACTGAAGAAGGATAGGTAATAATAATAATATATTCCTAAGAGTAAAGGAGCTCAGGATGCAAATCCAAATGAGATACCCTGTAAACCTAAGCCCAATTATCAATGACAAAGACATAGATATTCAATAAAAGAAAGGCATTTGTAGCATTCCTGAAAAAAAATATGGTCTGATCCCCAAATTCTAAAACTTCAGCTAAGTAAGCATACACATCTTCTGCCATGTGCTTCTGGAGGAAATCTCTTATTTTCCTGACTGCTGCCATCTCTTGAGCTGGGAAAGCCTGTTCCCAGGAATTTGGGTTTTATGATCTGTGCTCAGCAGCTAAGGGCAAAAACAAGTAATCACCATGTATGCCTGCTCCCAAAGCAGCTACTCTAGTTCCTCAGTATAGCAAACTGTACATAAGCACAGGTGTCTCTTTCCTTCCACCATACACATCCATGCTGAGTTTAAATCCCCTCTGCTACCTGATGTTTACTTAGAAGGGCTTGCTAAAACACCTAGGGAAAGGAGGATGGCTGTAGGGTGCCTGCATGGCGTCTAGCACCATGATGGACCAGTGAGGAGGAGATGTATAGCTCCTGTTACACTTTTTAATTTATATGATACTTATTAGTGTATATCTCATAATTCATCCTCCTCCTACCAAAAAGAGAAAATAAATTGTTTCATTATGTCATCAGATGGTAACAGTCAGCCACCTATCTAGATAAAGGTACAGATCAAGGTCCCCAGGCAGGAGACAGAATGTTTATTACAGTAAAAAATGAAGTAATAATAAACTCCTCCTGCTGG